GTACATAGGGTCGCTATGAGTTGCAAGCAACTCGACGGCACATAACACCAAATGAGTCATAGTCAACTTGATGGCATCTAACAACCACAATAATCTTTTAAGGGACAGAATGTGATGGGCATGGGCTTTAAGGTTGTAAGTCGTGGAGTATAATTCTATGATGGAATTAGTTCTATTGACATTCACACAAACACATACACACCTGGAAAGCATCTGTCCCATATTGCAAGTCAATTACTGGGCTTGACCCATAAACAGACCGGCCTGACCCATATAACCTGCTTGAGTGAGCTTTTAGGGAGAAAAGTCTATATACCCCACATGTTCGAAAGAAAGATCTCCAATTAATTGGTGCCCCACTGCACTGCCCTGTGATCCTCATGGGTGGGCATTACTTTTGCAATTTCTTTAAGGCGCTATTTGTAAAACTGGATTTTAATTGTGTGCTCTTAGGAGATCTGGTGCTCAAGGTCTGTATAATTGTATGTATGACAGGTTCATATTAAGCACATGGTAAATATTAACCATTTTACTTTACCAACCATACTTGTAAAATCATATGTGTTTGGTGGACCTTCTTCCAAATATTCAAAATGTTCTGAGGAATCCTTCAGCAAAGAAATCTATTTACTTGTAAATCAGGTCTATGAGTGGTGTCTAGAGGTGTGTTGACTACTAAATTAAGACCTTACAGAACACATCCAATGGTAATACACTCAGAAGAAAGACATGGCAATCTACTTTGGCAAAAATAAGATCAAATCCTATGGAGCAGTTTTACTATGTGGGGTTATTACTGACTTGGTAGCATTGAGTGTTTGATTGTTTGTTTTGGTGGTTAACTCAAGGAGATTTTTAATCATGGCTATATTTCTTTCTCAGAGAGCTATTAACAAGTAACTTTATGTGATACCCAAATGAAACACTACCTTAGTTGCTGTTGTTAGGTGTTATTGAGTCGAGTATGACAACAGGGCTGAACCCTGTCCTACCTAGTGCTATTTTCACAACTCTGGTATACTCGAGCCCATTGCTACAGCCCCTCTGTCAACCCACTTGGTTGAGGGACTTTTCTCATGATCACCCTCCACTTTTCCATGCATGATGTCCTTCTCCAAGGAATGTTGTTGTTAGGTGCCATTTATTTGAGTATGACCCATAGTGACCCTATGAACAACAGATCTGAACTCTGTCCTATCCTGTGCCTCACAATTCCTAAAACATTAGAGCCCATTGCTGCAGTCACTGTGTCAGTCCACCTGGTTGAGGCTCTTTCTTTTCTTTGCCAACCCTCCAGCTTGCCAAGTTTCATGTCCCTCTCCAATGAATCGCACCTCCTAGTGACATGCTTGAAGTATGTGAGGTAAAGCTTCATTATTTTTGCCTCCAAAGAGCACTCTGACTGCACCCTCTCTGCAAGACATATTTTTGCTTGTTGTTTTGGCAGTTGATGGGATGTTTAGTACTCTTCTCTAACACCACGGCTCCAAGGCATCAATTCTTCTGTCATCCCTATTCATTGGCCAGCTCTCAGATGCATAACAAGTGAGCAGAAAAACCATGGCCTGAATCAGAAGCACCTTGGCCCTCAATCTGACATGATTACTCCTCAATTATTTGGAGAGGTCCCTAATCACAGACTTCCCCAGTGTAATAAGTTTTCTCATTTCCTGGCTACTGGTACCAAGTGTGTTAACTGTAGATCCAAGTAAGATGAAAATGTTAAAAGTTTCCATAATCAACTTGGTTATGTCCACAATCAACACTCTTGGCACCAGTAGTCAGGAAATCAAGAGAGATGCCTTTGAGTTGTGGTGCTGGAGAAGAGTGTTAAACATACTGTGGACAGCCAGGAAAACAAACAGGTCATTCCTGAAGAGGATGCGACCAGGCTGCTCCCTGGAGGCAAGGATTTTGAAGCTCCATCTCTCATACTTTGGGCCTATGGACAGAGAAAACCATTCCTTGGAGAAGAAGATCATGCTTGGAATGGTGGCGGAACAGCACAGGAGAGGAAGACCCAGGATGAGCTGGATTGACTCAATGACTGGGAAAATGGGATTAGGTCTATCAGAGACAATGAGATTAGTTCAGGATAGGGCAGGGTTCAAAGCTGTTGTACATGGGATCACTATAAGTTGCAGATGACTCTATGACACATAACAATAGTAACAATACACCTAAAATATGTGAGATGAAACTACCTTAGATGGATGGGAACTTTTTTTATTGAATGTTTTATGTGATCAAAAGACTCTCTGAGTTATTTATTTAGTTCTAGGGTTTGATCTGTTTTAGCATCAAAGACACCTGAAGATTTTAAAAATTCAACCACAAGTTATGTTCCATTTCAGGACCCTAGTGACATAGTGCATAATGTGTCTGGCTGCTAACCATTAGGTGTTGATTGGAATCCCTCAGTCATTCAGATTGCTGGGCAGTCCCCCTGTCTAAAGATTTACAGTCGTGGAACCAGATAAAGGATTTAAAGGAGATAATTTCAGATTATATGAACTATAAGGAATATAAGTGGAATAATTGATTAAGTAGATAGAGATTAGTTGAGATGGAGGCAACACAGGGTGAAGGAAGTCAGACCAGCCCTGAATGATAAATGCCAGGCATAAAAGATCTGAAAAGAGAGCATCATAAGCATAAGAAAGCATATCCAAAGACCCTGGGGAGAGCAAAGACTGGGTTCATAGTGGCCTAGTGGGTAATGAGTTGAGCTGCCAACCCACCAGTGGTTCAGATCCACTTTCTGCTCCTTGTGTGAAAGATGGACAGCTAGGAGTTATGTTTGTGACACAACAACAATAGGAAATAATAAAAAATCAGAATTGACTTAATGGACACTGATTTATTGCTTGCTTGTTTTAAATACGAGCTTAAGTGCCGTGATAGTTCATCCAGGTAGGCTGTTTACCTTCCACAGGAGAAATCTGGCTGTGATTTACCTCACATGTTATCCATCATGCATTTGTCCTTGGAAACTTGTGTGTTACTGGGATGTTGTTCAGGTGCTTTCAGCCCAAGACAGACTAGGAAGAAAGGTCGGGTGGTCTATTTCATAAAATATACCACTGACAGCCCTTCTGTTTGTAACCAATCATGGAGATGGAGCAGAACTGGGAAAAATGTCTTCCATTGCTCACGAGGTCTCCATGAATTGGCTTGACTCAGCGTCAATTAATAATACAAGACCAAAATTGTGGCCAGGATGGTACAGTAGAATGAAGGAGGGGAGATTGACTGGAGATGAGTTTGGAGGGCTCTGTAGGGACACAGTAATGCATCTTTCATTAGGCTCTAACAAGAGATCAATATTTATAGCAGGATCTTATTCTGAGCCATTAACTGAGGTTCCTCTGATGTCCTCATTCATCAGATGTCCTGGTGCCTCACGATCTCAGAAACAGATGCTCCCATGAGTACTCTAGCAGATGGAGGAATAGGAGCTCATTCAAAGAGCACCAAAATTCAAACTCTCTCCTTTGAATTCCAGTCACACTATGAAACTCGCAACGTCACAGACAACAGCCGCAAAGGCAGCATGTTCTGATTTGCAAGAATAGCCAGTCTTTCTGGGAGGGTTTATTCAGCATTGACTGTGCACCAAGCACAACTGAGTCTTACATGTTCAATGCCCAGAACAAGACTGAAGAAGATACTGCTATTGTGCCTATTATGTAGGTGAGGAATGTGAGGAAGAGTCAGCCTGGAATTGTGTGGCATGCCCAAAGTCATGAAGCTAAACATCCTGGAGCCACAGGCCCGTGCTCTTTGAATTCTTCTTGTATCTCTAGTTCTGTATTTGACTTTCAAGGTGCCCTGCCCCCACCACCCTAAACCAAGATAGCCCTGATTCTACAGGCTTATGATGGGAAAGTAAGAGGAATGTGGAGGTGAAGAATGAGATCAGCCTCTCTCATTTTCTCTGTGGCAACACCAGACCCATATTGGATGAGGCTCAGGTCATATCTGCTTACCATGGCACCACATGCCCAGAGAAAATAGGGAGGGTACTCTTGAAGGCAAGGGATGGAGAACATCCAATTAGTCATTAACAACAGGGAATGAACCAAAATCACTAGACACGCTGTCCCTATATTCTGGACTGGCCACAGGACTTCATCTGGGGGGACATTCACAGCTCAGAGGAAGGGTATGTCACTATGGATTCTTCTGCACTTGGAATGTCTATTCTTTGACTACATCCTCAACACCAGTCTGAGAGGCCTGGTGCCTTAGTGGGAAGGAGTTGTGCTGCCAACGCAAAGGTACCCAGTTGGAATCCACCAGCTGCTTCAACAGGAGAAAGATAAGCAGTTTTCTCCTGTGCAAGTTATTACCTCTGAAAACCTGCTGGAGGACAGCTAGGGGTCAGTTCTGACTGGAAGGCACATAGCAACAACTCTACTGTACTTTCTCCTCCAACACCTCCCACTGGTTAATCCCCTTCTTAAGTCTGGGCAAAAGGGGCCAACGAGAAGAATGAATTCAGAATTCAAACACTGAAGGCCATACCTGCTGCTGATAAGAAGAGCAAATGGCCTTGCCTGCCTAGTTGAGCTAGCAGGACCATTCATCAAAGTAGAATGTCCCTCCCTAAAGACTCTTGTTATAAAAATCCTCCCCAGTAAGTTCACAGTGTGACTTCCCCATTCTGCATCTCCAGAATGGGGAACACACCTGGGAACTCCCCCATTCCCCTCCTTTAATAAAGTTCAATTAAGCTTTCTCTCATTCTCTCTGATTTCTTGCTTAAATCTGCTAACTTAACACTCCTCATTGTGTTCTAGGTGGACTCAAAGGCATGATGGGAAATTTTCGGGACAGGGACATTGACCAGTCTCCTCCCAAACCTGAGTTTCAGAGGTCCCCAAGAGCTACTGCTGTTGCTTAGAAAGACCTGGGAAGAGGTGGCACAGTTTTATTTCTTTGAGTCTGCTGAAATATGTGTGCGAGCTGGCAGTGGGATTGTTGAGGGATTCAGTGGATCACTGTGCTCCATTGTCCAGCGGCTCCACTCGCAGCCACAGCCCACCCTCAGCACGAAGTATCAACTCTGGCTTCCTGCTGGGCTCAATGTCGTCAGGCAGGACACGGAAACGCAGCAGCGTGAGGGCCAGGACCACCTTCATCTCAGTCATGGCGAAAATCTGTCCGATGCAGTTCCTGCAGGCCAGGAGGGGGTCTGATTCACCCAGAATGCCCATCCAGGCACCTGGAAGCCCGAGATTCCCGCCCTCACCCTCATCAGCCTAGGTGATAAAGATAGAGCTGAACGAGCAGGAGCCCCCCCCCCCCCGCAAAGGATTCCCTGAAGCTTGGCTCAGATTCCAATTCCAGATTTAGAAAAGCAGATACTGAGGAAGGAGGGCAGACACAGTGACTGGTATCCCATCGCTCCTCCACCCCCCAAACCTTCAGGAGAAGGGAACTCTGACCACCAGAAACTCCCCCAGCCCATATTCAGGAGTCCCTGAAGTCCCTGAGCTCACCCACAACCCATCCCAGTTTAGTGGCCCACAGGTCTCACCTGGGCCCTGCAGAGAAGGGAATAAAAGCCAAAGGTGACTTCTGCTGGGGGTTTTCTGGATCAAAGCGGAAGGGGTCATAGACCTGGAGGTGGAGAGACAGATGTGGTAGGTGTGGAGTCTCCCAGGATAAACAGCCCCAGAGAGGAACATGCGCATGCAGTCTGATTCTCTGCCCCTTCCCCACATCCCTACGGTAGGAAATGATGATATGGGCAAAAGCAGTACCTCAGGATTGGACCACACGGAGGGGTTATGATGAGTCCCGAAGATGTTGATGAGACAGATGGTAGCTGTGGGAGACGGGGAAGTCAGGAAGAGGTCCCTGCTGTCTAAGGGGTCCCCTTTCCTGCCCAGGACCTTCCCATTGCCCCTGTGAGCACCTTTGGGGATGACCCGACCGTCTGGAAGCACTATGTCCTGGGCACAGCGGCGGGAGATGACTGTTACTGGAGGATGCAGTCGCAGACTCTCTTTGATGCACATGGTCAGGAAGGGAAGCTTGGCCAGGTCGTCCCTAAAGAACCCACATCCTCCAAAAATTAACCTGGGAGCAAAGACTTCCCAGCCACCTGCTGACACTCTTTGCCACTTCTCTCTGACCCTCACTCCCTAAAACAAAATAGATGCCAGATGCACCAGAGTTTAAATTTAATTGAATAAACAGATATACAAAATGTGACACATACACACAATCAAATACTGCCTAGGCACAAGAGTGGGTGAAATCCTGATGCACGTCCACTGCATGGATGAACCTTGAATACATTCTCCTGAACAAACTAAACTGTTCACAAAGTTACACATGTCATATGAGCTTTTTTATAGGTGGTGGTTATTGTTGATTGCCTTCGAGTTTAAGCATGATTCATAGCAACCCAGTTAACAGGACTTAGAAGAAAAAAGAGGAAGGTTTTTGTACAGATCTTAAGTTTGCGTTAGTGGTGGTGAAATGATTTGGAAAACAATTTCAAGAATGGTTGCTCAGCTTGATAAGTATAATCAACGCAGTTGTACTTAGAGAAGTGGCTGAGATGGTGTGTTTTGTTATGCAGATTTTAGCACAGTATTTAAAAAATCATTGTTGTTGTTGACATGTGCCGTCGAGTAGCTTGCAACTCATAGTGACCCTATGTACAACAGCCCTAAACTCTGCTCTGTCCTGTGCCAATCGCAATGTCTCTGACACACCGATCCTGATTACCCCAGTCACTCAATCAATCCACCTCATAGAGGGCCTTCCTCTCCTGCGTTGTCCGTTCACCCTCCCAAGCATGATGTCCCTCTCCAAGGACCGGTCCCTCCTTACAACATGTCTAAAGTATGTTAGATGAAGCCTCAAAACACTTGCCTCCAAAGAGCAGCCTGGTTTAAGCCTCTCCAGGATGAATTTGTTTGTTTTCCTTGCAATCCCTGGTACCCTCAACACTCTTCTCCAGCACCACAGCTCAAAAGTATCAATTCTTCTATCCTCCCTAGTCATTGTCCAACTCTCTGATGCATAGCAAGTGATCGCAAAGACCATGGCCTGTATCAGATGCACCTTAGTCTCCAGAGAGACACCATTGCTCTTCAGTGCTTTGGAGAAGTCCATAACAGCAGACTTTCCCATGGCAATACATCTTTTAATTTCCTGGTTACTGGTACCAAGAGTGTTGACTGTGGAGCCAAGCAAACTAAAGCTGTGAACAATCTCAGTCTCGTCACCATCCATCCTGACGCTGTCAATTGGTCCAGTGGTGAGAATCTTTGTCTTCTTGACAATGAACCTCAATCCATGTTGAAGGCTGCAGTCCTTGACCCTCTGCAGCAAGTGCTTCAGGTCCTCCTCAGTTTCAGTAAGCAGGATTGTGTTAGAGAAGCAATATCATATACATTGTTATTGTTGTTAAGAGCAGATCATATAAGTTGTTGTTGTTATGTGCCATCGAGTTGCTTGTGACTCATAGCGACCCTATGTACAAGAGGCCTAAATGTCATTCTATCCTGTGGCATTCTCGCCATCTCAAACACACTCATTCCCACCACTCCAATCACAGAATCAATCCCTCTCATTGAGGGTCTTCCTCTCCTGTACCATCCCTCCACTCTCCCAAACATGATGTCCCTCTCCAAGGACCAGTCCCTTCTTGCTACATGCCCAAAGTATGTCACACGAAACCTCAGAATCCTTGACTCCAAGGAGCATTCCGGCATTGTCCTCTCCAGGATAAACCTGTTTGTTCTCCTAGCAGTCCATGGTATATTCAACACTCTTCTCCAGCACCACACCTCGAAGGCATCAATTCTCTTATTATCATTCCTAGTCACTGTCCAACTCTCCGATGCATAGCACATAATTGCAAAGACTATAGCCTGGATCAGGCGCACCTTAGTCTCCAGCCTGATGTCATTGCTCTTCAGTACTCTTGAGAGGTCCCTCTTTCCCAATGCAATTCGTCTCTTGATTTCCTGGCTGCAGTTACCAAGAGTGTTGACTGTGAAATCAAGTAAACCAAAACTGTTAACTATCTCAATCATATAAGTACCAGAGAAAATTTAGCTGGGTGTTCTTACTTAATATTGTACTAGAGAGAGACACTAGCTGACACAATAAGATTGTTTTTTTAAATTTAGTTATTAGAACTGTGGACAAAGTTAATCTGTACTGATAAATAGCAGTTGTATATTTGAAAACCAAAATTCAAACTCATTGCTACTGGGTCAATTCTGACTCAAGACAACCATCTGAGCCTTTCATTTTCATGGAATAAACTGATCATCCTTCTCCGTAGAAGCTGCTGATGGATTCAAACTGCTGACCTTTTGTTTGGCAGCCTGACATATTTATTACACACTACCCCAGTAGTGTTCCTTTTATACTTAGAAAGAACAAGAGGATCCACTTGAAAACTTTGATAACCTGTCAAGGGTTAGTATCCAATTCCATTTGCCTTGAGATAACATTAATTGATTATAAGGAAAGAAATAAAAGATGTTAATAATAATATAAATAGCTGGATTAAATTTATCAAGAAATTTGAAAGCTCCATATTTCGTATTCACTTATAAATCTCACTCAATCTGAGTGAAATATGAGTAGAAGATTCTGTCTGCCACAGTAGCAAAATATCAAAGGGTTCATTTCACAGCGTGCGTAAGATCTCTAAGTTGGTATTTTCCATTCCATTAGAGTGGATATTCATTATATACTTTGGAAGATTGTGTGTTCCTCACAAAATATTCCACTTTGCATACATAAATCATATATTTAATGACAATCTGGCCGATTTTCTTAGGAACTTGACAAACTTAGCCTAATTTTTTTTTTCCTCAGAAAGAATAAAAGATAATGAAAAGAGAGCTAGGCCAATGTAAAAAAAATCAAAAAGAGGAATTCGTTTTACCAGGTTCACAAGGCTGTAATAAAGAGATCAACGTGGTACTTTTGCAAGAACATGATAATCTTTGCAAGAACAAAATCATCAACACGAGGAACCATCTAAAAAGCTGGGAGGCACATGAACAGTGAAAAATTTAACATCTGAGAAACAAGCCCCCCAAAAGCTTTAGAAATAGAAGAAGAGGGTTGATTATAAAACAGAATAGAAGAGGGTTCATTTTAGAAATGAGCTTTTTATAAGTAAATGCTAAAGTTTGTAGCTTTTGAAGACCCTGTAAGCCATTCTATTCTGACATGCCCAGGTTATCATGAGTTGAAATCTACTCAGTAGAAACTGGCTTGAGTTTGATAAAAATTGTGTTGCCATTGGAGCATTTTTGTCATCTGACCTCGTACAACTTTTCAGTGGGGAAAGATAATCCCTAATCAGAATTCACAGCCAGAAACTAAATCCTGTGAGGTCAGATATGCCCTCCAGCCTACTGTAAACTTGTTCTGCCAATCTTATCACCAATTGTCCCCCACATGATACATACTGTTTTTCTACTAGGGCCAATAATTTGTTGCAATGACCACACAGAACATATAACCCTTAGGACTTAATAGAGAAAAACCAGTACTCACTGCCATCAAGCCAATTATGATTCAATTATGACCCTTCAGTAAGTTTCCAAAGCTGGAAATATTTATGGGAGAGGACTGCCCATCTTTTTCTCAAGGAACAGCTAGTGGATTTATACAACTGACCTTTCTGTTAACATCACTACACATCCATGCACTACTATCCAATTCAAGCTCAGAAATGATTCACTATCACTCTCTCCTCAGCTGTGGTCAAGGACAGACACTTCACTAGCCATTAGTCTTGTGGCCCTGTCTCTGGCCTGCTTGGGCAAGTATTAACCCACTGCCCCCTTTTTTCTAGCTCTTCCATGTGACAAAACACTTTGCTTCACTAAGCAACCCAGGTGTTCATCTCTAGTTCTCTAGCTCTATGGCAAATGTCCAAAGGCATTCAGTCTTGGTCAAGGCTCCTGTCCCAAAGCCTTCAGCTATCTCACTCCATACTCGAGGGGCGAGGAAGATCATAGATCTGGTTATAAAGATCTTGTGGGTCTGCTCTTCCTGTTGCCTCTATTTGCTGCCATTTTCCTGCTGCAGCTTTCAACTGTCTCATTACAGAGCTCCTTCCCTGGCTATAAGAGTGTGAGTAGGGAGTGTCACGTCCAAGAGATTCACCTTGTTCTAGGCTTTTACTTTTACACGGAAGTGAGATTCTCTGTTTCCTTCCCCTAGGATGAGAAGCCTGACAGGGTGGCAAAACGCGCACAACTGCATTCCATACACCGGATTTGTATGGTACACTTGGTACCAGCAGTCAGGAAATGTATTGCACTGAGAAATTCTGCAGTCGAGGTCTTCTCCAAATTACTGAGGAACAATGATGCTAGTTTGAGGTGCACTTGATTTAGACCATGGTCTTTTCAATCACTTATTATGCATCTGAGAACTAGACAATGAATAGGGATGGCAGAAGGAAAATTGTCTTTGAGCTGTAGTGTTGGAGAAGAGTACTGAACATCCCCTGGATTGCCAAAAAAGCAAACAAATACATCTTGGAGAAAGTCCAGCTACTTTGCAACTCCTTGGAGGCAAGGATAGCAAAGCTTCATGTCCCACACTTTGCTAAGAAAGGTTATTCCTTGGAAAGTAACATCATGCTTGCGAAGGTAGATTGACAGCGAAGGAGAGGAATCCTTCACTTCTGTGGATTGACATCGTGACTGCAGCAATGGGCTCAAGTGTGTCAGAGACTGTGAAGTTGGCACAGGATAGAACAGAATTCATATTTATTGTTTTTGGGGTTGCTGTGTTGTGCTTGACTAGACAGCACCTAACAACAACAACATCCTCGCCCCTACCCTGCTACAAGGATACCATCTGCTTTATTTACTAGCTACTGTATCCTCTGAGTTGGGCACGAGGGAGTGTGCTTGGAGAGGACTGTTTTTGTTGTTGTTGTTCTTATGTGCCATCGAGTTGCCTGCGACTCATAGTGACCCTATGTAAAACAGCCCTAAACCCTCCTGTATCTCTTGCCAATCTTATTGTCTCTGACACACCTATCCTTATTACCCCAGTGACTGAATCAATCCATCTCATCAAGGGTCTTGTCTCCTGTGCTGTCCCTTCTCCCTCCCATGCATGACTTCTCTCTCCAAGGACTGATCTCATCTTGCGACATGTCCAAATATGTCAGGCGGAGCTTCAGAATCCTTGCCTCCAGGGAGCAGCCTGGATTCATCCTCTCCAGGACAATCTTGTTTGTTCTCCTAGCAGTCCATGGTATATTTAATACTCTTCTCCACCACCAAAGCTTAAAGACATCAACTCTCCCTCTATCATCCCTAGTCATTGTTCAGGTTTCTGAAGCATAGCAAGTAATGGCAAAGCCCATGGCCTGTATAAGGTGCACCTTAGTCTCCAGACTGACATCGTTGCTCCTCAGTACCTTGGAGAGGTCTCTGACAGCAGACTTTCCCAATGCAATTTGTCTTTTAATTTCCTAGCTGCTGGTGAGGAATGGATGGATAATAATATAAGAGTTCCTAGACAAGAAATGGAAGATTTCATGCCCAGAATCTCTCTGTGAATCCCTGGCCAGATGACAAAGTAGAAATTAAAGAATTGGAAAAGTTCCAATATCCAGAGGAAAAAGACTTTTAAAGGTGTGATTTTAAAGATAAAAACAAGGGACAAGTGAAGTTCATTTGTTGAGCATGTGCTAATATCTCCCATTATACACTGTCACTATTCTCTCCATTGACCAGATGGTTCTAACTCAAAGCCATAACCTTTCCCTTGCTGAGCAAACCTGGACAAATGATTCTGCATCTGGCTTCTGTGCCTATTCTTGCTGTGCAATTAGGGAAGAATACGCAGAAAATTTTCTCCTGCCCCAAGCCCACCAGAGTCAAGGTAAGGAGCTCAAAGAACAGGTTGTGAAAACTCTCCTCACCATTCCATCTCTTCTGGCTTACAGCCTTTCAGGAGCTCTTGCACTTCCTTTCGGCAGCGCTCCTGGTATTCTGGGTGCTTGGCAAGGTTGTACAGGATCCAGGAGAGGCCACTGGCTGTGGTGTCATGGCCTGAGAGACAGCCAAGTGGGCTTTAGTCACTGACTGTTTCAGTACGAGTGAGGACAGCTCTGGTGCATTGAGATAACCAGGAAGGATGAGGATAATGGGGCTGGATGAGGCAGTCCAGAACCCTTCCCGCAGGATCCTAAGAAGAAAAGACACCCCCTGCCCCAATGCCATCTCATGCTGGACCTCACCCTCAAACATGAAGGTGTCAGCCTCTGCTCGAATGTCTTCATCTGACAGCTGCTTCCCGTCTTCATCCTGGAGAAAAGACAAAATCAATACACACATTGCTATCACATCAGCTTTATGAGTCCCTGAGCCTAACCTGCAGAGTCATATATGGTGGTAATGTTTCCATGGAGCATCTAAATGAAGATAAACTGAAGTGGGGAGGGAATGCCTGACAGTCTACATTAAAAATGAACCTTACAGATCACAATAGAATGTTGTCCAATATGATGAGAGTTGGAAGACACTCAAAAATACACCACAGCTACAAGAGTAAGCATAAAATAGTGAAGATGGGGCCAGAACCAGGCAATGTTTCATTCTGTTGCATGCTGGGTCATCATGGGTCCAGGTGACATTAGGACCCTCTTCAAAGACTTGTCTTCTAATTAACTAACTAGACTGTAAGAACAAATTAGGGAATTCATGGTTCTAGTGGCAAGAAGCTGTGTTGCAATACCGAAGGCACGCAGTTCGAGACACCAGCCATTCTAAGGGAGAAGGATGGGCAATGTCCTCCTGTACTATTAACTGCCTCTGAAAGCCCACGGGGGGGGGGTCAACTATGGGTTAGTTCTGACACTATGGCACACAACTACGACACAACAACAAAGCTTGTAAGGTGCACCTGATCCAGGCCGTGGTCTTCACAATTAGTTGTTATGCATCAGAGAGCTGGACAATGACTAAGGATGTTAGAGTAAGAATTGATGCCTTTGAGTCTCAGTGCTGGAGAAGAGTATTGAATATATCACGGACTGCTAAAAGAGCAAACAATCTGTCCTGGAAAGGGTGAAACTAGGCTGTTCCTTGGAAGTAAGGATTTTGAAGCTCCATCTGACATGTTTTGGGCATTTGGGCATGTTGCAAGGAGGGACCAACCTTGGAGAGTGGCATCATGCTTGGAAGGGTGGAGGGACAGCACAAGAGAGGAAGACCCTGGATGAGATGGATTGACTTAGTGACTGGTGTAATGGGGAGGGGATGGTAGGTGTGTCAGAGACAATGAAATTGACTCCAGATAGAGTTCAGAGCTGTTGTACATAAGCTCACTATCAGTTGGATTTAACTCAATGGCATATAACAACAAAGCCTGTATACCGTAAAATCATCTCTAAAACATCTCAGACATGGCTCTCCTCCTCTTGTATACCTTCCATGACTTCCCAGTACCAGAGAAACTACTTTTAGACTCTTTTATCTGACATCTGAAATTGAGGTCTTCTTGCTTACTTTTCACACACATGCCACAGCCAGCAGGCACTCACCTTGCTCAGCAGGAGCACATCAATGAAGTCCAAAGTCTTGGTCTTGGCCTTGGCCTTGAGGAAGTCATCAATGCCCTGTTTTGAGAGGGTGCGCCGCCGCTCCCGGATGGCTGCATCTGTGAAGTCATGCACCAGGCGGCAGGCCTTTCTGAAGTGTTGCCCATAGTGAGTGAGGTGATACAGGAAGTCCCAGTGAAGGAAGAGCTGCTGCTGTCGCTTTACTACAAGCGCACTGAGTTCCAAGATGGCAGTGATGTATTTACTGGGCTTCCTGCAGCACGAGGTGAGAATGAAGGCAGCAGCTTCATACACTTAAAGCCCAGGGTTCACCTGCTACCTGCTAGTCAGTACTAGCTTCATCAGAAAGCTGAGCATTTGAAAGAAGGTGGACCAAGAGATGCATGAGAGGAATGAGCCTGGATGTATGACTCTAAACTTCTCTCCACACTCACCCACACCTGAGAGTACCTTTAGGCTAGGTAATGAGGAATAGAGTATACATAATGCTCATCATTCTCAGAAACTCCTGCTCAAACTGACCACACAGCTCACATTTCATTCTCTTCCAAGTGGTCCATGGTCCTATCTCTTGCCTAGGTCTCCTTCCACCATCCAGTGTCTACCTAGCACTCAGTCTTATAAATAAATGCAAGCAGATTTCTAAAGCTCATCTATGACTTGGAAGTAGGAGTGGCATCCTTTTCTGTAAATAGCTTGTCTCTGGAAACCCTATGAACCTGGAGAAAGGATGAAAGTCACACAAATGTCGAGGACTTCCATTCATAGGGTCGCTATGAGTCACCTACAACTTGAAGGCACTTAACAGCAACAACAACAACAACAAAAACAACAACATCTATAACTATGCCCCTGATCTACCCTTCCTATGTCTCTATGGGGACCCTAAAATAACAATCTTGCCTCATTTTTTAATACCCTTAAGATCTAGATCCTACCTAGCAGTCAAGCTTCATTTCCAAAATAATCCCTCACCATCTTTTGTACAGCTTTGTTCATCTTGACTTTTTGCCTTTATGAAAATTATTTCTACCATGTCTTATCCTTTAGTTCTTTTTCTTTTTACAGTGATTTGAATGAACTTTTAAAAGGCAAATTCATTTTCCATTCAGACATTCAGATACGTTTTGTTTCATCATATTTATTGTAACACCCACAGTGTAACCACATTCTTTCCCATTCCCTGTCCATTTATTGTCCACCTACCTCCTATAAAGCCTTCTCTGATGGCCCAGGTCATTCTTCTCTTCTCACTTACCCCCTTGGGTCAATAGCACAAATGCCCAGATCCAAACATAGGACTCACTCCTGACAGTTGCTGTCAAAGCTGAAGACACATTTCTGCAGGCTGTCGAGAGTCATGAGACTGATGTGCTCAAACATGTCCAGACGAATGTTGCCTTTAGAGGTCAGGCACTTCCACTTACCCTGGTCAAAGAAAAGGCTACAGGTAAGCCTTGGAACTGTCTTCTCTGGGATCCCTTCTCCAACTTCCGTCAAAAGGTGAACGCCATCCTAAACCCAACCTCCTGTTTCTGCATCCAAGGCACCCAACCCTAAGTAGAACAGGCTTGGGTGGAAGTGGAAGCTGCCACTATTAAGACCCAAAACCCCATTTCTGGGAGTTAGGAGATCTGGATTCAAGTCACACATCTGCCACTTATATTCCAAGTGCTCTTGGTCATGTCATTGCCGCTTCCATTTGGATTCCAAATGATACATGTTCACCAAATGTTACCATGACCTTCCTCAGTATCATATGGAGCTGACTGGAATCCTAATTCCATCACTTACTAGCTAAGTGAACATTGACAAGATATATAATCTCTCTGAGCCATAGAGTTGTGAGAATTAAATAAGTGTAAATTAAAAGGCGCATTGCCATGGGAAAGTCTGCTGTTAGGGACCTCTCCAAAGTGCTGAAGAGCAGTGGTGTCTCTCTGGAGACTAAGGTGCGTCTGATACAGGCCATGGTCTTCGCAATCACCTGTTATGCATCAGAGAGTTGGACAATGACCAAGGAGGATAGAAGGAGAACTGATGCCTTTGAGCTGTGGTGCTGGAGAAGAGTACTGAGAATACCATGGACTGCTAGGAAAACAAAGAGATTTGTCCTGGAGAGGGTTAAACCGGGTGGCTCCTTGGAGGCAAGGATTCTGAGGCTCCGTCTAACTTACTTCGGACATGTTGTGAGGAGAGACCGGTCCTTGGAGAGGGACATCATGCTTGGGAGGGTGGAGGGACGGCGCAGGAGAGGAAGGCCCTCTATGAGGTGGATTGATTCAGTGACTGGGATAATTGGGATGGGAGTGTCAGAGACAGTGCGATTGGCACAGGACAGAGCGGAGTTTAGGGCTGTTGTACATAGGGTCGCTATGAGTCGCAGGCGACTCGACGGCACATAACAACAACAACAACAACAACAACAATGTCATAAAATGCCACATAATTTCTGGCATATTGCTAGTGCTCCATACCCTGAACTTGTATTAGCTTCATCAGCAGAATACTTGTTATAGATTACAAAAATGTGTTCCCTATTTTGGCAGAGGTATTCTTCCATGAGCCCTTAGTGTGGTTGTGCATTATCCCTGGACATGGTAAGAATACAAGACCCTTATGTTTTTTATTTGGACTAGACCAAGGCTCAATGTCAAGAAGACAATGATTCTCACCACTGGACCAATTGGCAGCATAGGGATGGATGTTGAAAAGATTGATATTGTTGATAGCTTCAGTTCACTTGGCTCCACAGTCAACACTCTTGGCATCAGTAGCCAGGGAATTAAAGGTGTATTGCCATGGGAAAGCATGCTGTTAGGGACCTCTCCAAAGTACTGAAGAGCAATGGCATCTCTCTAGAGACTAAGGTGCATCTGATACAGGCCATGGTCTTTGCAATCACTTGCTGTGCATCAGAGAGTTGGACAATGACTGAGGAGGATAGAAGGAAAATTGATGTCTTTGAGCTGGGGCACTGGAGAAGAGTGTTGAGGGTAACAGGGCCTGCTATGAAAACAAACAGATTCATCCTGGAAAGGGCTAAACTGGACTGCTCCTTGGAGGCAAAGATTCTGAGGCTCCGTCTAACATACTTTGGACATATTGTCAGGAGAGACTGGTCCTTGGAGAAGGACATCATGCTTGGGAGGGTGAAGGGACAGCACAGGAGGGGAAGGCCCTGTATGAGGTGGATTGATTCAGTGACTAGGATAATTGGATGGGAGTGTCAGAGACAGTGCGATTGGCACAGGACAGAGTAGAGTTTAGGGCTGTGTACATAGGGTCGCTATGAGTCGCAGGCAACTCGATGGGACATAACAACAACAACAGACCAGTTTTCAGACAATTGGGTTGCATCACGTAACTGAGAGATGAGGAAATGTCCTCCTTTGTTCAGGATTCTGGCTGAGTTCTGCTTACTATAACAATATCAGATTCCTTAAACTCAATGCTATCTTCCTCCACAGCAGTATTACAGCATACTGTATCCATTTCTTTCCACTGATGTTGCTCCTGTGGGATTTGGGCATTTGGGAAAGGATGCAAACCAACATGATGCTTACTGTGCTGTGAATAGTAATCCTCTAACTCCAACCCTGGTGACCCATATCTTCTAGAAAAATCCATGAAACAGTAGTAATAAGCTAATTTAACAACTTGTGAATCTGGAAGTCGGCTGGTGACTGGTGGGATGGCTGGTGGCTCAACTTGGTGGCAGTCAAGACAAGGGAAGTTTCTGGGGTCCTTTTTGCTGTGTTTTACTGCTCTTCTTTGCCCTTCAAAAGTGGGTGGGTGGCCCAGAGCCTTAAATTAAGGGGAAGTAAGGGTGTACCCTGATTAAAACAAGTTTGGAAGCAGGAGTGGCATCCACTTCTGTAAATAGCTTGCCTCCGAAAACCCTATGAACCTGGAGAAAGGATGAAAGTCATGCAAGTGTCGAGGACTTTCATTCATACGGTCGCTATGAGTCACCTACAACTCGACGGCACTTAACAACTTAACAACAAATCCCAGACACATATTTCCTATCCTTTATTTCTACCTACAGCTATACTCTTTGCAGTGTGACTTCACACTAACTCTCATTGGAGAGTGGATCCTATTCCCCAACCCTCTGAGTCTGAAATGACCTTGGGATTTGATTTAGCCAATAGAATTTGGTGAGAATGAGGGCATGATAGTTCTAGGCCTAGACCTTGACCTCGAGAGGCATTATAGCTTACTTTTACTCTCTTAGAACCATACTTTCACTATGTAAATACACTTAGCTGACAGATGGAAGGTAAGAAAGAGAAAGCACCTAAAAGAGATCAGCTGGCTTATTCAAGATCACCGTAAATCAATCTATAACCAGCAGATGTCCAAACATCTGAGTGAGCCCAGAATGAATCAACAGTTTCCTACCTGATATATACTGGACCATGAATCCATGAGTGATCCCAGTGAAGACCAGAAAAATAATAATCTGAATAATTTATTCTAAAGCAATAACAAATGCTAATTCTTTTAAGGCAGTGAGTTTCAAAGTATTTTGTTACACAACAGTAGTTAATAAACAATTTTCCACATTATCACCAACACTGTTTCAGGATTCCAAGGCTTTAGAGAGGTGACGATAAATACCAATACTTTCTGTATACCTTCTATACCTTCTGTGTACCAGGAACATAATTCTGTTGTACTGTCTTAGATAGGCTTAAAAATGAACATCATTATTCTGAATTTACAAATGAAGAAGCTGAGGCTTAGAAATAGAACGAAATAGCAATCCATGATCCTGAAATTGCTCAGAACCAAGACTCCAATCAAATCTGTCTGTGGTCCCTCCCACAAGGTTCCATCAGGCATTCTGGGTTCAAGAGACTCACGTGCATGATGTTTGCAGTCTCAATGAAGATTTTCATGTAGGGCTTGAGGATGTTGAAGTGAAAGGCAGGTGTCAGCAGGCGACGTTGGTGGTTCCACTTGTCACCGCCACTCAACAGGAGCCCATCCCCTGGTAGAGGCAACCACGGGCAGTGAGCAAGAGCAGCCCCTTCCACTGGACTCCAAGAATGTCCCCAACCCCCTTAACTGAAGTTACTCACCAAGCCAAGGCTTCAGGAAGTCGTAGAAGACCACGTCCTTACGTGCAATGGCAGCTGACATGATTGTATATCATCAGGGATTATGGAGAGAAAGAGTAAAGGAAGAACTCCTGGTGAGGATGTGAGCTTCCAGCCAGGGATCTATACTTCCCTCCAAGCTCAGCATAGCAGTGATAGGGTCAAGAACAGAGGAAACAGGTTGGGAGAAAGAGAATCAGAACAGGCTGCAATGTAAGAGTGGAGCACAGGAGGAATCCACATTGATATCTCAACATGCTAGACCCCCTCGACATGACACCTCATATCTCTATATGTCTGAACTTTTCTCCTCCTTATCCAACATTTCTGAAACACAAAGAGCAGACGTGAAGTGAGGGAGGGCACCCTGATATGGTTCAGTGTCCTCGAACATGTGAAGACACTCTGGCATTGTGACAAATTAGCAAGCACATTATGGCACATCCACAACTTGACACAACACACTCTGATATGGATGAGAGGTATCTTTGTTGTGACCCACCAGCAGCACACATCCCTGAAGGTGCTGGCCATGTCCTATAAGTCTAAGAAACCCTGCTCTGAGCTCTTTGGGGAAGAACAAAGATAATCCAGTTTATGCTGCTAACACAGCCAGAGAGAAGGATTGGAGGCAGAAACCCACTGGAGACCTGAGACCCCTCTTCTACCACTTGCCCCTTTCATGTTGAGCCTCCCACTGGCTCCATAACCTGCCACATGACTATTCACGGTCTCTCAGGCATAGGGGCATAAAGAGCGTCTCCTCACTGGGAACTCAACAACACTATCATCCCAGTGCTCCTCTTACCCTCTTTCTGCAGATAAGGAAACTGCGGCTCTGAAATATGATGTCATCTGCCAGTGGTACCCCAGAAACTAAATGACCATCTGGAACCTGAATCCCAGCAGTTGTCTTGGGAATTGGGGCTTTGACACAGACCAGGCCATTACTGGCGTTCTGTGTGGAAACATAAGCTTTTCTATTGGAATGGAGCTTCTTGGATCATCGTTTACGCTACAATAAAAGAGTTCTCTTGAAAGTAAAACTGAAGGAAAGTAATAACCAAGAGATGAGAACAGATTCCTGGAAGCATTGTTTGAGACCCGGATCCAACCATGCCTGAAGGCTACTCTCACCAGATTTTTTTTTAGTCAGTAGATTCCTCTTCTTTGCTTAGACCACAAACTCAGCAACGATTTGTTGTCACCAAGTCAGAAAGAACTCATCGCTGACCTTCTAGATGGTTTTCAAGGCAGGAGATTTCACTGAAGAAGACTTTCCACCTTTCTCCCTCAAATCATCTAGGAGATTTGAATCACCTACCACTGGATTGACAACACAGCCTTCTATCCACTAGACCACCAGAGCTCCCTTTACTTGGGCTACAAATGGTTGGTTGGATTTCTACCATTTACAACTAAAAGGGCCTTAGGCAACCAAAGAGTTGGGATCCCATCCAGATTACCAAGTAGGTTAACGACAGAGCAGAGATATCATTCCCTTGTCCAGGGTGAAAAAGGTAGAGGACCAAGAGAAAAGTAGAAATAAAGTGAAGTCTCCTAGGGAAGATATCTGGGGTCTGGAATAGGAGATTAATTGTTTACTTAGATGGACAGATCACAAGATGCAGTAGAAGATGCTAACCTGGACGCAGAAGTAATGACTCAAAGCTATCCTCAAAAGGCTACAGCTGGAGTGACTGGGCAGAGACTAGAGAAATCTCAGAGGCCATCATCACTCACTGTACCTCCCTCCCCTACTTTAAAACTACCTACTTATCATTTGTTATCATAATGGGTTGTGCAAATAGCTGGAGTTGGAGGAACGAAAGGGGAAGAACTTGGTCAATATTTCTCAAGCTCAAGGAACTAAAAAATAAAATCAAGTCTTGGGTTGTCATACTGAAAGATGCTGTGGGCAAAATCTGAAATGATCTAGAAAGTATCAAAAGAAGATGGAAGAAATTGTTGTTGTTGTTGTTGTTATGTGCCATGGAGTTGCTTGCAACTCATAGCGACCCTATAGACAAGAACCCTAAACACCGTTCTATCCTGTGCCAAACTTGCCATCTCAGACACACTCATTCCCACCACTCCAATCACAGAATTGATCCATCTCATCGAGGATCTTCCTCTCCTACGCCATCCCTCCACTCTCCTAAACATGACGTCCCTCTCTAAGGACCAGTCTGTTAGTGCTACATGCCCAAAGTATGTCAGATGAAGCTTCAGAATCCTTGACTCCAAGGAACATTCTAGCTTCACCCTCTCCAGGACAAACCTGTTTGTTCTCCTAGCAGTCCATGGTATATTCAACACTCTTCTCCAGCACCACAACTCAAAGGCATCAATTCTCTAACTATCATCCCTAGTCACTGTCCAACTCTCCAATGCATAGCATGTAATTGCGAAGACCATAGCTTGGATCAGCTGCACCTTAGTCTCTAGCCTGACATCATTGCTCTTCAGTACTCTTGAGAGGTCCCTCACAACTGACTTTCCCAATGAACTCTTCTCTTGATTTCCTGGCTGCAGTTACCAAGAGTGTTGACTGTGGAACCAAGTAAACTAAAACTGTTAATACTGTGTAAAAAAAAATGGTCAACATGGAAATATTTTAGAAAGAAGCATAAGATAAAGAGCCAAAGGCAGTGAAGGAATACATGCACACTGCTCTGAAGGTACTGTTAAAAACATAATGCCCCAGGAACTGATGTGATACCAGTTGACATGTTTCAACTGACAGATACAGCCGTGGATTTGCTAAGCAGCCTGTGCCAGAAAATTTGGAAGACAGATACTTGGCCAACAGATTGAGAGAGAGAGATTTATTTGTTCTCATTTCTAAGAAAGATGATCCAATAGAATGTGGAAATTATCAAACAATATCATTAATATCACTTGTAAGCTAAAGACTGAGGAAAATAACAAAATAAAATGACTAGACGAGTTCATTGACAGAGAACTTCCAGAAGTTCAAGCTGAATTTAAAAGTGGCTGTGTGCACATCCATGTTTATCATGGCTTTGTCCACAATAGCAAGGAGTTGAAAACAACCTAAGTGTCCATCAACAAACTAATGGACTGAAAAGCTGTGGTATATTCACACAAAGGAATACTACACTGCATTGAAAAACAAGGAACTCATGAAATATTATTCAAAATGGGTGACCCTGGAGGACATTACGCTGAGTGAAATATCTCAGTCACAATCGGACAAATACTTCATAGTGCCACTGTTGTAAAACAGGACTGACATCGGGGTTGGGGGAGAGACTGGAAAGATGGGATAAATAATGTGTACTGCATTGAAACAGATGAGGGAGAAGACTATTTAAAAGGGATAAGCGATTAGGTATTATTGTCATGACAAGAGTCCAGAGTAAAGGCTGAATAGTGGGGTAACCCTGCGTGGGGGAGGTATTGTAAAACAATGAATGAATTTTTCTTTTACTTTTGAAAGAGAAGAGTGTACTGGGGGGTGGGGGCGGAGAGGCGGCAGGGAGAAAAGTGCAACAATGAATGAATGGCAATCCAAAGTCTGTAAGCTTTCATTAAAATTAATAATAATAAAAAGAGGCTGTGGGGAGCTCTGGTGGCCTAGTGGCAAGACACTGCACTGCAATCCCCGAGGAACACGGTTCGAATCCACCAGATGCTCTGCCGGAGAAGGAGGCGCAATATCCTCCTGTACCAGTCAGATCTGATTTGACGGTACACGCACACAAAATAATAAAATAAAATAAAAAGAAAAGAAAAAAAGAGGCTGTGGTAGTAAGGAATATCATTAATGTCAGATGAATCTTGGCTGGAAGCAGATAATACCAGAAGACTGTTTATCTGTGTTTTATTGACTATGCAACAGCATTTGACTGTATGGATTATAACAATCCAGGCCTAATATTGAGAAGAATGGAAATCTCAGAATACTTTATGCTCATAGAAACCCTATACCTAGACCAAGAAGTTGTTGCCAGAACAGAGCAAGGGAACACTGCATGGTTTAAAATCAATATAGCACGGCTATATCCTTTTTTTCATGTCTATTCAATCTGTGTGCCGGACAAATGATTCAAGAATCTGAACTCTATGAAGAAGAATATAGTTTCAGGATTGGAGGAAGACTCATCAACAACCTGTGCTGTGCTGTCTTCAGCAGCACTTACACTAAAATTGGAATGATACAGAGATTAACATGGTCCCTGCACAAGGCTGACACATAATCAACCTGTGGTATGCCACCTTGTCAGGTGAATGTGAGAGGATTTAAAATTCTTGCCATAGAAGATCAAAGAGTACAGCTTTCAATTTGGATTACATCTCAACATCAAGAAGACAAAAATCCTCATCACTGGACTGATAAGCAACATCATGACAGAAGGAGAAAGGACTGAAGATGGTCAATGATTTCATCTTCTGTGGATCCACAGTCAACAGGTTTGGTATCAAACCTATTTGACCTTTGGTGCTCAAGAAGCCAAAAGACATTACATTAGGAAGCTCTTTAGTCAGAGACATTTCCAAAGTACTGAGGACTGATGATGACATCAGTTTAAAGACCGAGGTTTGCCTGATTCAGACCATTTTCTTTTTAATCACTTGCTATGCAGCTAGGAGCATCTGAGGACAATGAATAAGGAAAAGAGCAAAGAACCAATGCCTTTGAACTGTGGTGTTGCAGAAAAGTACTGAATATCCCATGGAACAACTGGGATGCCAAATGCCAAACAGGTATGTCTTGGAGAAAGTTTAGCCAGAGTGCTCCTCAGAAGCAAGGGTGGTGAAGTTTCATCTCACATACTTTGAGTATGTTGTTAGGAGAGGCTATTCCTTAGAAAGAGACATTAAGCTTGGAAAGGTGGAGGGTCAGCAAAATAGAGGAAGACCCATCCTGTGGATTGATACAGTGATTGCAGCAAGGGGCTCACATATGTCAGAGATGATGAGGATGGCACAGAATAGAACAAGGTTCAGATCTGTTCTATAAGTAGTACTAAATACAATAACACCTAACAACAAACAACAACAACTCATCATTCCACATCTGGTATTAGCAGACCCTCCTCCAGGAAGCCATCCAACCTGATCCAACATAAGCCTTCCTTCTCCTCCAAGCTGTGTCACCCTATGTCTTCCCATGTACTCATTCCTGGTCACGTGAAGGGGGTGCGGGTGGGGGTGGGTTATCTCTTCTTCTCATAATTTGAGGTTCTTTCTGAACTAGGTCCTGGATGTGGGATACCAGAAGTACATTGCTGTTGGTGAGTGGGGGCTGGTTAAATGCATGAAAGAAAGAGAAAGAAGATTGAAAAAGAGAGAGAAGGGGCTGGGATCCTGCTGGGCCCACCCAGACACTGAGGAATAGAGAAGCACTAGCCCACTGTGCTGCCCAGCTCCCATCTCACCACAAGCTCCTCGTGAGTACCTGAGGCATTGACAACAGGCCGGATGGTGTCAGGGTGGCACAGAGTGATAATGGGAATGATGGGACCAAGCCAGGTCTTAAAACCCTGAGGGTGGGTGGTCACCAGCTGAGTAATTTTCTTCAGGCCCTCCTCCGTGGGTTGGATCTGCAAACAACCGGGAGTGATCATCTCTCCAGAAAAAGCCAAAAGTTTCTGCCCTTTCTTGGCTTTCACAAGTGGCACAGCTTCTACTAGGAACATTTGTTAGCATTCTTTCAGGAGGGAGATACTCTTTGTGTCTTCTGGATCCTTGCAAAGGAACAAGAATCCCTTGGGATCTTGAGGGTCAAGTCTTTGGCTCCATTTCTAAAATTATATCAGAGAAAGAAGAGAAAAGGCAGGTTCTCCGTCCTCAAAGATTGACTGTAAGTGATGGCTTTTCTTGTTCTATAAGTTCCTGCAGCACAAAGAACACCTACAGGGGGAGGCAGAACCATGAGAAAGTTTCTAGACAGCAGTGTGCTCTCAGGACTGGAGCGCTGGGGAGTGCTTCCACAGGCTCTCTGAATCCTGGAAATCCACATCAAAACCTCTGGATCCTCCACCCAGAAAGGTCTGCAGACCCAGACCTCTCAGCCTCTCATCCCCTCCAGGAGCACACATGAACTTCTGACTACTCATTACATGACAACCCCCCTCAATGAAGTTTTTCCTGGTCAAGGTGTACTGTCTCTGTCTGTCTGAAGGTGCCAAAAGCAAGCAGGGGCTAAACATGCAGATGCAATGATGAGGAAAAAGGAGGATGTTCCTGGCCTGTCTGTCTGAGTCTAAGTCCCAAGATGCTTTCTAAGGTCCCCAGGACACCTCAGTCAACAGTGTTCTCTAGAACGTCCTCTCAAGTCCTGAGTTATCTCAGGACACCTTAACCACCCAAGCCTGACTACTTAGACATCATAGTAGGAGTCTTCAGTGGACAGCTTGCTCATGTTTGGCCTCCAAGAGGCCCCTCTGGTTCTCAGGACATAATTTCCAATGGTCAGGATGCATAAACTGCTCTCACCTTTCACCTGTCCACTGATCCCCAATGAACCTTGAGGATTGAGCAGAGGGCTCAATGTACATGGTGCCCCAAATCCAAAGAGTAAGAGTGGGTGTCTAGGCAATTGTCACAAGGTAAGAAGGCTGAAGGAGAGGGAGAATGACCAGGACCAGGCCAGACTTCGAGGCCAAATCATCAGAAAAGGATTGCTGATAACACACGGCATTCCCCATCTTCCAGCGCCTTCTGACTCTCCACCCGGCCAAGTCCATTACAACTCATGGCCACCGTCCATCAGGTTTCCAAAGTTAGAAATCTTCACAGGATCAGACCGTTCCATCTTTTCCCCATCCAGTAACTGGTAGATTTGAACCACCTACATTTCAGTTAATAGTTCAACAGGTAACCCACTACACTATTAGGTCTCCTTTCCATGACTTCTGAAGATACCTCAAATTCCAGAATCTCAGAGGAACCTTCCTGGTCAATCTGAGAACATTTTCTTCTAAATGAACTTTGTGATGAGCTTTTCCCCAAGTGACTGTTCTCATCTCCCCACAAAAAAATGTATGCTGGAGAGATGTGCTTGTCCTCAATCTGGTTGGGAGAAGAGAGGCTAGAACCAATCCTAGTGTCTCCAAATATCCTAAGGATGTGATGGCTACCCAGTCCCAGAAGGTATCCTTAATCTCTAGGTGTCGTGCATGTATTGAGTGTCACCTGTATGCCAGCTCCTGGGTTGGGCATTGGAGATAGAGTTCCTACCTACATCCCATCATGTGCCAGAGATGGGTGATAAACAAATGACTGGGGAAAGGATTGTCTAACTATAAATTTGAACATGGCTAAGGCAGAGGCCAAGAAACTTCTTAAAGGGGAAGTTAGAAAGGGGAAGCTGTTAATTGTTAGATGCCGTTGAGTCAACTCTGACTCATTGTAACCTGATAAACAGTTCCTAACCTCACCCTGGCCTGTGCCTTCTTCTCCATATCTAGCAGGCTAGACCCCATTGTTAAAGCCACTATATCAATTCATCTTGCAGAGTATTTTCCTCTCTCTCTCTTTGTTCTTCAATCATTCCCAGCATGATACCCTCTTCCCAGAGTACCACCTCCTGATACCCTGCCCAAAGTCTGTGAAATTAAGTTTCACCATCCTCACCGCTAAGGGGAAGTAGTCAACCTTGATCCAAGTCAGGGAATGGGACTCCTTGGCATATCTTGGGGTTAGAAGGCAAGATAAAAACAGGGGAGGCCAGGAAAGGGAGAAGTGGGGAGACTGCTTGCATCTCTCCTCCAGCCCAGCTGGATTATGTCTGTGGACAGCGACTGAAGCCCTGGAGCCCTCAGAGGTGTGGACAGTGACCTGAAGGCAGTAGAGTTGGTCTAGGAGGTAGAGGGACCCTGGACTGTACTTCTGTCGAGATCTTCTATTATGGAAGAGAATGGGAGAAAGTCAGCTCCACAAGCCAGCCCTGGGAGCTCTGCAGAGCAGCCAGAGCTGAACTAATGGGGAGATCACAGATAGGAAAATAACCCAAAGTAGGCATGAAGAAAGAGAAGAATGAGAGAGAATGCTGCAGACAAACAGAGAAGCGAGGGGTGGGTATTTCAAGGCTGAGGATGCAAAGAAGGGCTTCCCTTGGCCTCTCTCACTTTTCTGCTGTCTTAGGCCCTCTGACTAATCTCTCCTACTCCTGACATTCCAGATCCATTCTGCTGCCCCACTCACCATGCCCAAGTGACCCAAGATCCAGTTCCTCATTGGAGGCTGTGGGAAACATTGGAGTCGGCAGCATTTGTCGTAGAAAGCATAGGTCCAGGCCAGAACCCGGGCCAGAATCCAGGAGGCCCCGGTCAGCAGCAGGAGTTGCCATGGGGAGGCTGTGCTGAGCCAGACTCCCCACCACGACAGGTTTAACAGCGACATCCTACAGAGAAAGAAGCACTAATGGTGAGTGCAGATGCCAGATGGGTCAGAAAGTAAAGGGATGGGCCAAGGGTTTGGTCTATAGGGGCAGGAGGAGAGATGGCTAAGCATGGATGCAGAGAGGGGAGAGAGGCCCAGGGAAGGTCAGGGAAAGAATTAGAAAGGGAAACAAAGAGGTGGAACCAGAGGGAGAGAGTGGTTGGAGTACAGGAAGTCCCAGCCCCAGCTGGCAGATCCAGGGAGGTTGTCAGAGGATCCAGTTACCGATTAGTTACTGCCCTGGACCAACTTCCTCTTTGGTTCAGTCTCTTAGCCTTATGTGGAAGCCGCTTCAAAGACCGGGACCCCCAACCCTGCCACCTCCAGCCTGACACCTGTCTCCAGTGGCTTGCACTGCACAGAATACCTTCCCTCTTCCTGAGATCTCTTTGTCGCTGACCCTGACCTTCGGACAATTGTGAGGCCTCAGCCTGGGCCAACCAATCCCCAAAGACTTACCCCCTCCTCCCTGCTGGGCAAACTCCCCAAATGGGGGATGGGATGCAGTAGTGGCCAGGAGGCTGAATTGCTGGCTCAGATCATAAAGAGTGGGCTCAGAGTCCAGGAGACCCGGCAATCTTCTGAGTGGAAGTGAGCGATTTGGATGGAGAAAATAAAAGTTGCTTCAAAATGCTTCCATGGCCAGGGTGCAGCAGATAAAAGCCTGAATGTAAAGGTTCAGGCTTGAAGCTGTTGTTCTGGTCACCCATTCCTGCTGGAATTCAATCCATACTACAACCAGTGTGAGAGAGCTGTGGAGAATAAAAGATTCCTGGTTTGCCTCACAGAGATTATCAGGATCAGATTCTGTGACAAAGAACAAAAGTGGTAACAGGACACCTGAAACCTATTCTACCTGACGAGATGGAGAAGGACAAAGAAGAGGATGGAAGAGTCCACTGGGTCCCTACTCTGAGACAATGGTGCCATCCCTTCTCTGAACCTTGGTCTTCCTGTCTGGGAAATGGAGCATCAGAAGGGAACTTTAGAAAAGAACCTCACAATAAGTTGTGACGGATCATGATACCCAAACAGAAGCAGAAAAGGGGAAAGGGTAGCACCTTGGAGGGGAATAACTTCTTTTGACCCAGGTCCTCCACACAGAGTGTGCCTACTACATGCCTCCCTTCCTTTGGTCTAGGATTGCCTTGTGGAATGGTCTTGAATGAGGAATAATTTAAAGAAAGGATTCCCAGTAGAGATGTTTCAAAAAGTAGGACAAAACACAACGTATTAGTTCAAATTTATACCTAAACCAAGAAGCCAACTCATGTAGATGAATAGTGAGGGAACCCCAAACCTCCCTAATTCTCTACAATGCCCAGTTCCAACCCAGCATGGCCCCAGAGTTCAGATGTCTGTTCCTAGGGTCCTCAATATGGAGGAGGGGATTCCCTGCCAAAGAATCTTCACCCTCTATACTAAGGCTGATCTCATCTAGAGCAGGAAGAGAAAGGGACAGGGCTTGATAAGCCAGCCAGGGTCCTGGGAAATGCGGAATAAAGAGCCCCAGTGCTAGAAGAGGTCCAGTGTGGAGGGCCATGAACAGCAGCATGGTCGCCATTACAAGATGGCGCTGATTTCCTGCTTCTCTTTGTTTGCCTTAAACACAAACAAGACCTTATTTGGGCACTGTGTTCTCATTGGTTGATGGCTTGATCTCATGTGGGGTTTAGGATCCAATAAAGGCATGACACATAGGTGATGGGTGGAGTACCAAGAAGGGGATAAAAGCCGCACCCGGGGAAGGGACGAGAGACTACATCTTCAAAGAAAAGAGACTCCATCTTCCACCACCCTCTGTAACCATACTCCTGAGTAAACCGCTGTGAGAAGGAACCGCTGGTGTGTTGTGTCCTTATTCCTGCTGGACAGGCAAGGCGCGCAACAGTTCAGGTTATTGCAAACCTACTGTGTACCTGCAAGGGACAGCCAGCCAAGAGCAGGAGTGAACACCTCAAGAGTATTTGCACACATCAGTCACTGGACTGATTTTAAAGCCTCTTATACAGATCGACTATTGTTATAATAATGGGGAAATCAGGACTACAAAATTACTAAGCAACAACTCTTCTAGTCACACAACTGACTCATGTCTTCACATTCTTAACCATCAACATTGTGCTACTTTCTATCTTCTGAAAAGAATGGGAATCACAGAACACTTGGTTGAACTAGGTCAAGAAGCTGTTGTCCAAACAGAGCAAGGGAACACTGCATGATGGTGCGCTCACACAATGGAATATTATGTATCATTGAGAAACAATGAACTCATAAAACACTACACAACATGGATGAGCCTGGGAGACATGCTAAGAACTATCTCAGTCACAAAAGGACAAATACTGCATAGCACAACTATTAAAAATAGGACTAACATGGGGGATTGAGGGAGAATAGGAAAAAGGGGGATAGATAATGAACATAATGCCACTGTTATAAAGGAGGACTGACATAGGGGTTGCAGGGAGACTGAGAAAGAGGAGATAAATAATAGATACTGCATTGAAACAGATGAGGGCTAGAACTGTTTAAAAGGGATAGATGATTAGGTGTTATTGTTATGACAGGAGTCCAGAATGAAGACTGCTAGTGGAGTGGACTTGGGGGTGGCGGGGGATTGTATAACAATGAAAGAATTTTTCTTTTACTTTTCAAAGAGAAGAGTGAATCGGTGGGGGAAGGGGGAGAGAGAAAAGTTTAACAATGAATGAATGAATGGGGAGGAGAAAAGAATAAAAATATGCAAAACATTTTGGAAAAAATAGATGAGAGGAAGAACTGTCTGAAAAGAATGTATGACTCGGCATTATATGTTCCAGACAACAGTTTGGAACAAGAGGTACATTGAAAAGTGGAATAGGGAAGGGAGGAAGGAAGGAAAAGGAAGAAAATGTGCAACAATGAATGAATGGAGACACAACCTTTCTGTAATCCTTCATTAAAATCACAATTTAAAAAATTAAGAGAAACGTACATCAGGGTTGCATCCTTTCTCTGTATCTATTCAATCTATAAGCAAGAAAAATTATGAAGAAGCTGGACTCGATGAAGAAAAATACGGCATCAGGATAGAAGGAAGACTCAACAAAAATCCTTATTATACAGATGACACAACTGAGGCAGGCCCAGGCACAAGAAGCAGCTAAGGAAAACCAGGAAACCTGTTTAGCAGGCTCGACCCCAGAAGTAGCAGCATGTGAAACAGCTTTAACCATATAAACGACATAGAAGTTCAGCAATAAATAACAGAAAACTTATCCAGCAACTGGGGGTTAGCTGCCCAATAACCAAATGAAGGAATTTTAACTAGCCTGTGACCTTTCTCCCTGTGTACCTAAATAACCTATAACCCCTTCGCCCAAAAAGCTTAATAACCAATCACAATATATGTAAAAATTAGCCAACGGAAAAAATATCCCAACCAATACCTTGTAAGCCTATATAAAGAAAGAACCTTTTGCCTTCAGGGCGCCTGACCCTTGAGAGAATGTGGTCTCTGTCAACGCTTCTCAGGGACAATAAAGTCTTTGCTTCACTAAAAGAGCTTGTAGCTTTGTTCATTTGCCTGGAGTCGCTGGACAGAAGGTCGAATTCCTGCAACACAACCTTACTTGCTATAAGTGAAGCAGACTTGAAATGCTTGCTGCAGAATATCAAAGCCTACAGCCTTCAATACAGATTGCAACATCAAGAAGACAAAAATCCTTACCACTGGACTGCTAAGTAACATCATGATAGATGGAGAAAAGATTTCATCTTACTTGATCCAAAATCAACCCCTTAGTACCAGCAGTTAAGAAATTGAAAGACGTGCTATGTTGGGCAAGTTCACGGTAAGGGACTTTTCCTAATGACTAAATAGCAATGATATCAGTTTGAAGACTAAAGTACACCCAATTAAGGTCACAGTCTTTTCCATCACAATGAATAAAGAAGACAGAAGAAGAATTAATGTCTTTGAGCTGTGGTGTTGAAAATAGTACTGCATATCCTGCAAATAGAGCAAACACATATGTCTTAGAGCAGATGCGGCCAAAATGCTTCTTGGAGGCAAGGATGATGATTTGTTTCACACACTTTGAACATGTTGAACTTGAGGCTACTCCTTGGAAAGGAATATCACACTTGAAAAGGTGGAGGGTTAATAAAAGAGAGAAAGCCCCCTCAATGAGATAAGTTTCACACAGTGGCTCCAGTATCAAGTTCAAGTGTTTCAGAGATTATGAGGATGGCACAAGACAGGCCAGGATTCAGAACTATTGTTCATAGATTGCTATGAATTGTTTTCAGCTCAATGACACCTAACAAAAATAACAATAATTTTCTACCTAAAAATCTCTCTCTCTCTCTCTCTCATAATCAAGTAAAAGTTTACAGAGAAAATTGATTTTTCAGTCAGCCATTCATACACATTTTGTTTCATAACATTAATCACAATGCATACAATGTAACTGCTCTATTCCCATTTCTTCCTTCTAATTCTCCTTTACACCAAGGAAGGAGTAGGGCAGAAAGATTAATGAAACTGAGAATCACAAGCAGGAAGTATGTGGGAATTGTAATTGTTGTTGTTATGTGCCATCGAGCCTCTTGCGACTCATAGCGACCCTATGTACAACAGCCCTAAACTCTGCTCTGTCCTGTGCCAATTGCACTGTCTCCTATACACCCATCCCGATTGCCCCAGTCACTGAATCAATCCACCTCATAGAGGGTCTTCCTCTCCTGTGCCATCCCTTCACCCTACCAAACATGATACCCCACTCCAAGGACCTCTCCCTCCTTACAACATGTCCAAAGTATGTTAGACGGAGGTTCAGAATCCTTGCCTCCAAGGAGCCACCCAGTTTAACCCTTTCCAGGATGAATCTGTTTGTTTTCATAGCAGTCCATGGTACATTTAATACTCTTCTCCAGCACCACAGCTCAAAGGCATCAATTCTCCTTCTATCCTCCCT